AATGTACTTGTTTGTAGCTAGAGGGAAGTCACTCGGCAGCCAAAGCAGACAGTCCAGTCAGATTGTTGTCTCTGTGTCATGTTACAAAAAGGATCAATATGTTTATGCATATACAGACTCTAAAGTTGATCCCTAAGGGAACATGGCTTACGAGAGATCCTTTTATTATTGCCTTGATGGGTATGTATGATTGAACTGTAAAAAAAACAAGTTTTATTTAGAAAAATGTAAAGGTGCAATAAGTAAGAATGAAGTAGGACAGACATCTTTGATTTTGGTTACTGCAGTCCATTTTCTAAACAATGACGGACTCTCTGTGCTGTTCTGTGACTTTCATGGATGTTGCCAGTTCTGGATCAGCATCAGAAGATTCTATATGACAAACAGACAAGTAGTTTGTAGTAGTTTGATAAGTGCATTGTCATATCTAGTGTTCACATTCTTGGCTACATTGTAGCTCATCCCCACCAGCGTGTGAATGTGTGTGTGAATGGGTGAATGACTGATTAGGTTAGGTGAAGCGCCCTGCGGGGTTGTAGAACACTAAGAAGGTGCTATATACAAGCATGGTAAATGGTAGATGGCCTGTAGTTGTAAAGGCTATTTTTCATGTAACATATCAAGTTGTTCGTTATTGAAAAAGTTGCTTGAGATACGTTTAGAGCTGTCTATTTGTTTTATAATTTACCGTTAGCATTGTTAGCTCAAAGTTAGCCTCTAGCCTTCATTACCTAATCCAACTTCTGGGTCGCTCGTGTTTACTGGCTTTGGTTCCTTAAACAACTCTGGAGCTTTTTTGCCCGCTGGTGCCAAATTACAAATGCCAGCACTGCAACGTTAGCTCAGCGCAGACTTGGCAACCTCATAAGCTCACAAATTGTAAACAGTAGCTACGTCCCTCTTTAGTTTTTTGAAAGGGAACAAACGGACAACCCTCCAGCTGGCTCAAAAGGAAATCTGTTTCAATGTAACACTTCCTTCCAACATGATTGAAACATTAGACTGTTACGATGATTTCACTGTACATTTTGCTCTTTTAACGCACAAAATGAAATGAAATGACGACAACGCAAAAGTAAAGCTTTTCTTAAAAATTTCAAAATTAGCATTTGTCCACCAGCAGCCCAATGTCTGTCTTTTGATTGTTTGTAAATCCCTAATTTTGTTCACGATGCCGCTTTCAGGAAAAAAAGTATTTTCCAGGCTGTTCACACATAGATCTTAATTACAAACGGGATGTGAAGCTCCATGTAACTTTTATCCACTAATATAGACTTCTGATCCTCCCCTTGCATTCCCCTTTTTTAAAGAGGGAGAATTTCTTAAAACCTACAATACGTTCAGGGGAATTTCTTTGGGCACGTCTGCCTGTCTGACAAGAACAAGTCGAAACAATCCATTCACACTACATCCTCCCATAAAATCTTATTTAGCAACATATTTGTGCATTGCTGAAAGCTTTCATTACTAATACGGCTCCATCGTTTGACTGTTGCAACTTAGTTTAGACGTTGGTTTGACTTTATGCACAAAAATGCTTAAATGTTGCAAAAGCAAAAACCTCTGACCTGCGTTCAGCCTCTGAGTCTGGTTCAGAAGGCACATTTAGGAGTGCAAACATTAAAAAAATACAATACAGGACTTATTTTACAATCTGTTTCAGAATCTGAGATTTGTTTGTTGCTTTTTGCTAACAGGGTTAAGTCCTGCGTTAAAAAAGAATTACAGGAATTTCATCATCATGTCTGAACTCGCCTTCCTCACCTCACCTGCATCGCTGCTCTTCAGCACATCCTTATGTTTCTCTATAATCTTTTTTCCACAAAACTGAGCCACTGTTTTTTTTTCCTTGACGGTAAAACACAGAGGCAGGATTTTTGTTTTCTGTGGGTTCTTTTCAAGAGCAATAGGAGCTTTTCAGAGGTATTCAAGTGTTTTGGGAGCTAAAAGGAGAAGCAAAAAAAAGGGTTTCATGGGTGCAGAATCACAAGCAAATGAACAAATCTTTAGATCCGTAGCAATGAGGGACATGATTCCACCTTTGAATCAAATGTTTATGCAAATATTGTGTTCTTGAAAGTTGGTCAGACAGTCAGAAGCGAGCGTATTTAACAAATCAGAGCTGGCACTGTAAAAATCAACACAGATCAGCAGTTGATGTTAATATTTGAGTTTGTGAATAAAAAAATAAAATCAGACATATTTGTTTAATAATTATGAAGTTCGCAAATAACATTTTTTCATAGTTTTCTTTTCTTTTGGTCAACAGATTTTCCTTTTCTCCTAAATTTATTTAAATGTTCAAGTATTAATTGCATAAATAAACCTAAGGAGGGACTCAGGATGGTTTATGAAGTTCAATCCGCCATGGCACTAGCATCTTCATATTATCTTCTTATTTTTTATGACCTAAAGTGTCACTAATCTCATGACGGATTGTTTTTGTCCTCTGATTCATGTCCCGGTTTGTTTGAGCTCTGTTGTTTGGTCGGTTGACGGCTTATCGGCAGCCGGGAAAAATGTGTCACAGCTACAGTGAACAATCCAAAAGGTATTTCAAATGTCGGATGTTTACTGTATCCCTCCCTGTTTTCCTAACTGTCTCTCTGAGGTCACGTGCTCTCATGAGTTGTAACTGGAAATACGAGATTTCCTTAAGGGACATTTGAGTCCGTGTTTGTTTTAATGCAGGGCTTGAGGCAGAATAGTCTAGAAAATGAAGTAAATGTTTATTCGTGGTGTTGATCACCTGACCCTTACACAACTCAGATCTGTGACTAACTGATGTCATCATTCTCACCTGAACTGTCTGCAGCTCAGGTCATGAATCACTTTGCAGATTTCACACCGGTGATATAGACTGTGTGGTTTATACATCCTTGGAGCAACAGCTGCGTTCGCAGGAAATCATGTGATGGAATGAGTTGATTGCTCAAACATATTTGTAATATTTAGTGAGATTATATTTATTGGGATTAAATTTGAGAGAATGAAGCAAGACTGGGCAGTTTTATTTTCCTGGTAATACTAGGATGCATATGCAGAAAGACTGGCATCTTTTCTACTTTAGCAGTTGTTCACTTTAAAAGGTGAAGTTCTCTGAGAAACATAAAACTTTTTTGTTTTAATACAGTAAGTCACTGAGTTCAACATAGAGGTTGAACACAAAAAAAGTCTTCTTTGTCTTATTTCTTGTATAGGGACCCACTGGGATCAGAAAAAGCCACGCAGCTGTCGCATAGTATGTTAGCATTCATGGAAACACCCATCTGGGCTCGAGACGGAGAAGGCTGTCTTAAGCTTGGTTCATGCTTGACGCATTCACTTTCCACTTGGTGATGCGGCTCGCGGATGGAACGTGCTTCACAACTCGCAGCGTTTATGGTTCATGCGGCTTGTCTCTGCGGTGAGCTAATATTCTCCCAAACTGTAGGGGGCAGCATGGAGCTCTACGGCATGCATCCAACACTACATCATAGTAGAAGTAAAAAATACTGTTTACAACATGGCATTCCAGCATTTTTTAACAGCGTCCTCGTCTTTTCCGACAGGGCGAGCCTATTTCTCTCCAAGAATTATTAACAACATGTTGATCACGGTGATCTTTGAGAGCTGAATCATACAAATGTCTGTATTTACGAACCTCTGCCATAACTAGTTCTTACCAGTCCGCCATGTTTTTCCGTGTTCGACCATCCGCGTGGTTAGAAAATTTCCTAGGTGCGCGGTGCGGAAAGTTTGGGCCGTGCGGAGGCGCGGTGGAGGGGCGTGGTTGTTAAAATGACGCAAGTTTGCCGCACAAAGCCGTGCAAACCACGCGGACGCGTCAAGCATAAACCAACCTTTACATTTTAGCTAGGAGAGGGTAGAAGCTAACTGTTAGCATTAGCAACTCCACAACCTGGTAGAACTCCATCAGGTTTGTGGTATTTGTGGAGATAAAACATCGATGTTGCAGAGCAAACAGAGGCAGTGAAAGAGTCGTGTTGCTGTTAGCCAGTCAGAGATGAGATTTTCTAAAATCAGGGATGTTAACGAGCAAGACTCCCAAGTCCTGTTGTTTTCCGTGCATCTCTACTCCAACTAACTCCTACTTCCTGTAACAGGAGCGCTGGGGCTTTTTTCCACACAGAGAACGACTCAGCACATTTATTGAAATAATGATTGTAGGCCCTCTTTCAATCTGGCCGAATAGTGTTAGCATTGGCTTATTTTTCTAGTCATATCTGTTTCTCTAATCCCGGGTTATTCAAAAAGCTATCGACAACAGCTTAGATATTTGTTACAGTCTGTAGAAGATGAAAACATCCAAACAATCAGTTAAGTAAATGTCAATAAAAACACAAAAATGTAAAACTAACACTAATCATTAACTATAAAATAAATAAGTTGACAAATTATCTCCATACTTCCATCCAGGTAATCATCCTTCTCTGTGTTGTGTTGACAGTGATCTAAGTCCTTATGGGGTGTATTACTAGAGGCTCTACCCACTTTTTTTTGCAGCAGAACAGTTTTCCTGCACAAACTGTCTGTGTGCCATCGTTTTATTGTGGTCTGTGGCATCTTGTAAACTCTTTTCAAATGAAACTGACATCCTTTCTGTGGCTCTTTGTTGAGCTGTTAGGGTTCAGCTTATTCATGCCCTTTTCTAAGCTCATTAGGGTTAGATTTAGCCATACACTTCCAAAGGTGCACTATAGTCAGCGAGGACATGTTTTATTTTGGTTTGTGTGTGTTTGTCTAACAAAAGTTAGCAAAAGAAATACAAAGTTTGGATCATTCATGTTGACTTACAGGAGACGTCTTTTTATCAGAGTTTGAACTTGTTCTATGTATTTTGAATTAATCTTTATGTTTTAGTCAGTTAGAAAATATAATTTCAGCTGCAGTCAGAGATTGTGTGAAGGTCATTTTTTTGTCACTATCAAGTTTCCAGCAGATATCTTTACACATGCCGTTTATCTAAATCAGCGTTTTGTGTTTTGTTTTCCTTTCAGGGTTGAGTCACCGTACTAACCATGCCCCTGCAGGCTGCTGGTAAGTCTCCTACAACCACATCTGTCATGAAGTCATCATGAGGCATTTTTAACAGGAAGCAGAGTTTCGGCAACACCAATGGTTGATATGAGAAGATAGCACTTCTTTTAAATTCTCATTTCTGCAGTAACCAAGAAACAATTTGATCAGAAAAATATGAATTTGATCTGATGCCAGCTGTTGCCGTGGATCTGTGCTCGTTTTGTGCAACACATACATTTATTTATTCTTATTTAGTTATTTTTCTTTACCAGCTTTATGGCCCCGGACATTAGAAATAAGAAGTCTGTATTTTAAAAATGTATTTGAAATGAAAATAAAATCTCAACGCCTGTGAGACTGGGAGCAGCGAAACCCTTGCAGACAGACCGTGTGGTTATTGTTGTTTCTCACACTTTTTGACACTGATGACATGTTTGTCTGTGTTATCTGGGTTTCATCGAGTCCGCCAGTCATTGCTGGAATGGTAGTTACCGAGGCTATCATCACTTAGTGACGGAAACACAGCCCTGAGAGTGTGTGTGTGCCACAACAGGGTCACAGTTGATGAAAAATCAGAATGTGCCGTTTTTGTCTCTGAGGCTTTGAGATAAGAGGACGTCTGAACCCAGCAGCATCTGTGTTGTTTCCTGACAACAGCCTTTTTTCCCTTTTTGATCTGTTGGTGTGAAACAACGAATGAGGGTGAAGTTAAACCAGAAATTGCCAGATTGTCTAAGAAACTCTCCTGAAGGGATGATTCATCTCATGAATGCAGATGAGCTTTAGAGACTAAGGCCTAGTCCACACGTAGCCGGGTTTTTTTTAAAAAACGAATATCCGCCCCTCTAAAAACTTGCACCCACACCACCTTGTTTTAAAAACAAACTCTGTCCACACGTACCCGGATAAATACGTTGTTAAGGACATGCCAGACCTGTAGGCGGCAGTACTTCCCCGTTCTTAACCTCGTCCTTCGTCTGTGGTCTTCCGCAAGGAGCAGTAATTCCGCTTGCAAAAACAAACAAGCAGAAAGCGCTTGGACAATTGATAAAGTGAGCGCAGCTCTGAGGGCATCCATGCTGTCGGCTAGTGTAAACACAGGTCGCACACGTGATGTCAGCATTTTTTTTGTCGTGGAAAGTGACGTTGCGGACCTTAAAACTCCGGTTTTGTCTGTCCACACGCAGACACCCAAAACGGAGAAAACGCAGATCTTCACTTTGGCCGGAGTTTTTAAAAAGATCCGTTTTCGTGTGAAAAATCTCCGTTTTCGTGTGGATGACAGGCCAAAACGTAGAAAAATATCTACGTTTTGGCAGATCCCCGGCTACGTGTGGACAGGGCCTAAAACAAACCAAATCATTTTGACACAATAATTGAATTATCTTTGTTGTGTTTTTGAATCATCTGGAGGGCAAAATAAGCACAGTACTCATGAGGACATTAACCATTAAGAACCACAACCATCAATATCAGCCGAGGATTACTTAGACACACGACGGTGGGACAGGAGTTAAAGTGCTCGCCCTATAATCGGAAGGTTGCAGGTTCGAGCCCCACTCAGTCTGTCGCTGTCATTGTGTCCTTGGGCAAGACACTTAACCCAGCTCACCTGCTGGCGGTGGTCATAGGGTCCGGTGGCGCCCGTGTACAGCAGACCCGACTGTCAGTGCGCCCCAGGGCAGCTGTGGCTACAATATAGCTCATTACCACAAGTCTGTGAATGTGTGAATGACTGTGTTGTAAAGCACCTTGGGGGGTTCCAGGACTTTAGAAGGCACTGTATCAAATACGGGCCATTTACCATAAAGATGCAATTAGCAGTATATTTGGCAAAAGTCACTTTTTGCTATTTTTTTGTACGGTCACATGGGTCTCCAATGCCTCTATAAACACTCTATCGTTTTTCTGTTAGTGTTTCGTTTTAGGAATTATTTTCCCAAAATGAGCCTTTAGAAAAAGTCCCCATTTTTTATGTCACAATAAGAAAATCAGCGTCAACCCACCTCTCTCACCTGTCAAGGCTGGAAGAGCAGTGGCTCTACTCTGAGCCCCTCCTGGATTATAAGCATAAGCTCATGTGTCAGTCTAATAAATATTTTGATTAGAATGGTTTCTTCAGGATTGTTACATCATAATCAGTCACCCGTGACCTCGGGATAACACAGTCACCGTCCTTGAGTTTGGTTCATCTTCAACGATAAGACTCAGACTCATTAGCTAAACACAGCCTGGGCGGGGGGAATAAAACTGACTCAAATTCACGTTTTTAGCTGCAAATGAATATATTTTATTTACCTTGCAGAGAACAATTACAAAATACAAATGCAACTAAAACTTAACCCATTTGAAAACACGACTGTCGGTCCTGGCACTGCAAATGGCAAATATGTTTGTGTACAAAGCTGAATTTATTCATGTGTATCTTAAACAAACTTATTAGTGCAGTTGCCTGCAGTCACGAGTAAACTTGGTTTCTGTTGTATGAAAATGTCCTGTGTCTGGGTGTTTGTGCACACAACTCTCTATCTTTGCATAATTTAGGCTCGTTTTTGTGGATGTGCTTGATACTTTTGTTGACTAATCCAATGCAACAGAGCTGGGCTCACATGTTTGTTTGATCACCATCAGTAAATAATATGCAGCGTGCGTAGCAGAACACTTCCTGTTCCAGTTTGTTACGATCTTTAATCTCTAGCAGGGGCGTTTCAGATCCACCAAGCTAACGTTAGCGTGGCAAAGTGCTGATGTTTCCCTGTTTTTTGTCTTTCTTTAGGCTCAAGCACCTCATCGTTTTATTTCCCATGATCCTCTTGTGCAGCCACAGAAGGAGCGCCCGGGTGGATCCTGCTGGTTTCCTGTGAAAGACTCGTCCAACCGGCAGTTCCATCACGCCGTTCCGCCTCCTTTTGTCTGGCTGTCAAGGACGATGGAAATTAGAAAATAAAAATAAAAACAAAGCAGTGGATTATATCAGGATTTGGATTAGGAACCGTAATTTTAATTAAAACACAATTAGTTAGCTTTTTTTTGCTACTTTTACTGTAAGACCACTGATTTCCCCTGGATTACTGCCTTCCACGTGTTTTTGACAAACTCCTATTTTTCTCTTTTTCTCGCCTGATCAGATTTTTTTTTTTTTTTAATTCAAGGACAAAAAAATTCTTCTACGGAGACTTTTCTTGGACAAAAACTGGTGGACTGATGGTTGTGAGGAGACACACACACACACACACACACACACACACACACACACACACACACACACACACACACACACACACACACACACACACACACACACACACACACACACACACACACACACACACACACACACACTCGAGTATTACCAAACAACTCTGATCTCAGAGGCCACCCAAGTAAACATTCAGGTATTTTGCTTCATAACAGTATCTGAAAAAGGTTTGATTCATCTCCTTGTACGTACCAGATGGGCGGAGTTTTCATGATAGGCTTTTTAAATTAACTTTTAGAAGTTTTCTTGAGGTTTGAAGCTTTTATCCATTAAAATGTAGGTCTCAGAATACCTCAGTTTGTTTGGTGCTCACAGATTTAAGGGTTACTTATATTTTTTAGCACATTTAGCCAAAACCAAGTTGGTTTGTTTCACTTTGAGGTCACTACAGAAATATCCAGGATATCTCCCTCCTTTGTTCCTTTAATCTTTCCTTATCTCACCAATAAAAAACAAATACTTGCCAAAAAATTCTCAGAAACCAACTAAACAGATTTTAAAATAAAGATCTTTGGAAACAAACGTAAGGCGACATAGTTCAAATCAAGATTAAATTTTTTTGAAGATTCTCAATTATTGTGCACAATAGATTCAAGAACAGATTTTAGTTTACAAAATAACTTTAAAAGGCTAATAAAATCAGATTAAAAGTGTAAAAAATAAATATTTTATAGTAATGATGATTTTATCTTCGGTTTTATTAAATATTTTGTTCATGTCACTCATATTCACTGCATTTGTGTTTAAAATTTAATGTAAATTTCAGGCAGAAATGTTTTACGGGAGTAATCACCTTGAAACATGTGACTGTTGCTAATGCAAAACAGGAAACGCATCACATCAAAGCTTTCGTCAGATAAATCCTGTCACTGCCTCAGCCTGCCACACAAGACCTGGCAAAGCTTTCAAATGTGACTTCTTTTAGACGTCCAAACAGGATTTAAACCGAGTCAGAAGTTCATCAGATCCACTAAAGGAAAGTAATACTTTCGAAATTCTCCTCAATGAAGGTTGTAATGAGTTCCTGCTCCAGACGTGTGGAAAGTGTCGGTTCATCTTTACTGAGTTGGATCTGTGGGAGCGCCCATTTGCTCATCTGAAGTGTGGATCATCAGAATCTAATCTTTCAGAATAAATCATTAACATTTGAATAAAAATAGCATCTAATTAAATAAATCCATCCAACTTATCAGCTTTTTGGGCCACTACTTGCCACCAGGCTGCCATGTTTCACCAGTTCTGCTCTGCAAGTCAAATCTGAACTAAGTCCCAGCTTCCTTAGCTCCAGTTCAGGATCCTGCCCACCATTTGAATCATCCTCTCATCTTGAAAAATGCAAAGGAGGGACAAGTTAAGAGGCAAGATTGAGCACGCAGAGCCAAGAAGGAGCAGGAAGGCTTTAGCTGGAAAGTTCTGCTCACTTTTACTATAATTGGACACAAGTTGTTTTGGACTAAATCATCATTTGTGGAAGCTAATTATAAAAAGTGTAAAAAAATAAGTTCAAAAAGCATCAAAAACACTTTTTGTATTATTCTGACCTATTGAGTATTTATCCATCCACGTCAGCTGATTTATTTGCATTTTTCGCTTGATGATTAGTGGTTGTGTGTGGTTACAGACTTCCATGTGCACTGATCTCCAGGAAAAAAAGGGAAAAAAAAAGTATTTATTTTGTAATTTTATGACTGGAGATGAAGATCGAGATCAGCAGGTCACACGTCCAGAAACTTGTCCCAATTTTTGAAAAACTGAATGGTGAAAAACTTTAAAAGATAATGTCTTTATCTTAGGATGACACAAAGCACAGAATGTATGAATAACAGCTTGTAGATATGACATTTGTTGTCCTAAACTGCCCTGACTGTAAATAGAAACATGTACGACCCTGTAAACAGTTGTTTTGTTTTTGTTTTGTGGATTCTATATTTGGGGTTTGATTTCATGTTACGAATTAAGAGGTTATGTTGATGTTTACAAAACCTGGTTCACCTCGTTAAAAATCCTGTAGAAAACCGTCAAACGCTCCGATCTACCAGGAGAAACATTCTGTAACAAGTGATAAACATCTTTGAAATATTTTCCTAATTTTGACTTTGTTGCCTTTTGTTTTGTTCCTTTTATTGGGTTTTTACTTTTTACCTCTGAGGTGTCACTATTTAAAAAGAAACAACCAATTAGAGTCTCTGTGCGAGTTCAAACCATCCAATCACAACCCTTTCCTGTGTCAGCATGACCTAACAGTTCAGGCCGCCCTCGGCCGCCACGCCCGAGTCTCCTCCGTACGTCTGAGGAAATAATCTGTCTTAACAAGTCTTCTTCCTTCAGATGACACTAAAACGTCTTCAAGGCGAAAAATGCAAAGAAAAAATCTGTTCCAGCAGTTTTTTTTTCTTTCTAAACTAGACTAATAATCTGTTTTTGCCCACATGACTCATTTTCTTCCTCTTGTTTGAGAGTTATTGAAAGATTAATTCTTCGTGAACTCAAGAATTTGGCCATTTTCACCTTTGAAATAATTAAGCTAGTTTAAGGGCTCGCCCCCTACAGCCTTTCTAAAGTGTAGATTTGACTAAAAATGACAAGAACCTGAGTAACGTTCATATTAAACGCGAAGTTTTACCTCACAGACCTTGTGGAGTTCCTGCAGCAGAACGACAGTAACAACAACAGTGAGCCAACTGTGTGCACTAGCCTATTGTTTCAGTACAAGAATGATTTTAAGTGCAACGATCAGTTATACAGTTGAGCCCACAGAACTTAATATGCAAAGATCTGATAGACTGCTACAGAAAACCTAAAAAAATCTAAATGCAATAATCTAGTTTAAAGCTTATGTGCTGAAAGAAGGAGGAGAACTGATTTTATTTTGATTTTAAGACTCACTTAGATTTTATGCATTTTCTCTAAAGGTTGCACACCTGTAGACCAGTCCAGCGGCTCCCTAAGTTGGGGTCGTGACTCCACTGGGTCACCAAAAACCACACAGGGGGTCTTGAGATAATTTCCAGATATCAAAATAAAATTCAAAAACAACAGCTGAAGCTATATTATTGCCATCATTGTTAAAAATAAACTCAGCTAAATTTTCATAAGTGGATACAAGTAAAGTGCCCTGAATTATTTAGCTTTTTAAGTATGTTTGTATCATCCGTTCAGATTTCTGGGGTTTCTACCATTTCTATTTAGTGGATCTGAAGCAGAAAAGTTCAGAAACCGCTCGACTACTATTGCTCCACATACATCTGAGGTAAGATGTTACTCTAATAGATTCTGATGTTGTGTTTCGGACTGTATTGTGTAAATAAAAAGCTACATTATATATATATATAATTTGAAGCCCTAAAAAGAAGTAAGGTGCATCAGGCCTGAATTTCAGTTTGGTGGATTTTTCTCTTACCTAGATTTTAGGACCTCAAAGGGATATTTTTGAACAATTAGTTCAAAAGACACATAATGTAATTTTTTTTTAAATTAACTGAATAATAATTGGCTTGAATAAATATGGCAAGAAGCCAAACATACTCGTATGAGGAGGTCAGTTTTCACCTTCAAGTGCATTCTTGTGTAAAAAAGATGCTTCCCCCTTACTGGAATTTTCTTAGCTTCACCTTATCTTGCTCAGGAAGTTTTGCAGCTGCACACTACTTAATACCACGTGCACAGGATGGGGATTATAATCCCTTTTTTTTTTTTACTGAAGATAAGGAAAGCTGAACAAGTAAAGGCAAGAAAGGAAAGCAAATCAGCTGAACAAGATGGTTAAAAATATAAAAATGCAAGAATTGTTAACAATTTGTGCAACTCAAGAAGCAGCAAACTCCAAAAGGAGCATTGTAAAACTGGAACAGGCCGGTCTGAATGTGTTTTTATTGGAAAGGCAAACACCAGAATAAAGTTATGATTTAATCTGAAATCCCCTTCTCTGCATAAAGGACCTACCAGGATGTTTTTGTCCATGAAAATGTTCAAACGTTTAAAGAATGGCTGGAATTTGTGCTGCCATCTTCTGCTGGAGCCATTATTTGCAGCTGGAATGTGCAGCACCAAGCAGGTCCTCTTCCCACACGTTAACGTCACAGCCTGGCTACACATCTGGTCACAAGCCAACCCTGCTGAAAGTGAAGAAAGAACAAAAAACCTGTAACAATATTGGTTTCTATCACACTGATGTGATCCATGCTTATGAGTAGCTTGCTGATGTCTGGAAAGAAGTGATCATGACAGACAGCCGTGATCGACAGCTCCTCGGCTTGTGTCCACAGCGACCTACATGGAAGCTGTAGGTGATTTAAGGGGAAACTATTGTGTGATGATATGCTGACAGGAGTTTGATTGCCAACTCTCCACCCTGCTGCTGATGTTGTTCAGCCTAAATGAACTAATCAGCATAATGGAAGCCACTGCATTTGAAATAAGCTGGCTTGTCTTAAGCGCAGTGACAAGTGGGATTTGTGGTTTGAGTCGTGTAAACAGAGAAAACGCTACAGCTTTTTGTTTTGCACATCGCACACCAGGATGTTAGAAAACAATCATTGCTGTTGACGTGGGAAGAAATCTGGTAGAGGAGAATCAAAATGAGCCAAAACATGAACTTTATGTCAGATGTTGAATGACTGTAAAAGAACCGTTATTAATCCAATATTCTTCCTGTCGTATTGCAAAATAAAATGGCCTCAGTTGGTCTTGAAACTTCAGCTAACATTGATTCATTTGTCTCATTAAATCCTACATTTGCAAAACAAAAGCGATTTACTGGTCCACCTATGTTCCAACCCTCATTTATGCTCACGAGCTTTAGGTCGTGAAGGAAAGAATGAGGCCACAGATACAAGTGGCTGAAATTAGGTGGCTGGACTGTCCCTAGAGATAGGGTCATCTGGGAGGGGCTTGGAGTAGATCCACTGCTCCTCCACATCGAGAGGAGTCAGTTGAAGTGGCTCGGGCACCTGGTTAGGATGCCTCCTGGATGCCTCCCTGGTGAGGTTTTCCAGGCACGTCCAACCAGAAGACCTGAAGGAAAACCCAGGAAACGCTGGATGTTTCTCAGCTGGTGTGGGAATGCCTTGGGATTCCCCCGGAGGAGCTGGCTCAAATGCCAGGGGAGACGGAAGTCTGGGCCTCCCTGCTTAGGCTGCTACCTCCGTGACCCAACCCCAAATAAGCGGAAGAAACTAGAACTTAAACATTTTTTAAAGCGAGTTTCATTTTGCTTTTCTAATCTTAAAAATTTTTTTAGGTTTGTTTTAACATCCATTGAAAATGGCTTGTGTGTGGGTGATAACTGTGGTGTCATAAATACAGTATATCCACAGTACACACACACACACACACACACACACACACACACACACACACACACACACACACACACACACACACACACACACACACACGTCAGTGCAATCATAGTTAAAAAGAACAAAAATACATCAGAAATAAAACAGACCAGAAGAACTCCATATACTAAAACACATTTGGGATATTTTTAGTGTTACATCACAATTCCTGAAAGGGAGAGCTTTGGAAAATAAGCCTGAAATGGTCCTTATTAAAACTGTAACAAATATGCTGACCTCCTGCATGCAAGCAGAGAAAAGTGCAGCGTGAAGAAAAATACACCCACCGCCGAAACAAGAAATTTGTGCACAAAATATTAAAATAAAAGCAAAAAAAAAGCATCGTATTAGATAGGAATTACACACAACTGTAATGATACTTTAATGATAATTGTAGTCTAGAAATGAATGCATGAAGAATCCAGATTTTTGATAAAATAGTGTGGATTTAGTTTCCTCTGGTAGACCAGTATGATGTTCATTGGTTTGAGTTTATGGTTCATAAAAAAAATAAAAATATTTAAAAAAATCACCAACTGTTCATCACTCTTAGCTTTAGCTGGGTTCCAGTAGGAGTTAGGATGTACATTCACAAAATTTTATCCACATTTTTCCACTAAGCATCTGCTCAGACTTCATTGAAATCATACATTAGTGTTCCCTATTGACAGTTTTGTAGAAAACTGAACTGCCTACAGATTTGCAAAAACTCATCTTGACTCTGAACTTTGTCCATCGCTAGTAGAGCAAGGGTTGTTCCAGTGAAGCTCCAAATGAAGGAAATGTTTCTCCCGAGACTCCCTTCCTCCCTCTAATAAACAACTGTTCATTCTGTCTGGAGCAGAAGGGATCAATGCATGCTACGTGCCTGGGGGAGAGAAGCTCACTAATTGTTGTGATAAAACTCTGCTTTGATGGGGCCGTTTAGATCCGAGAAGCCATCTATTTTCCATTTTAAAGCACCAACAGGAAAATCCAGAAGAGCAAAGAGAAGCCAGTAAGTGCGAGGGGGTGCACACCTCCTCAAAATTACCTCATTTCTAGTTTTTGAGGTGTGTATTACACCTCAACCAAGTTAGGCTAATGCCATTGGTTGGGACTGCTCATGAGTAACTTGACACAGGAAGTTATCATGAATCACCCAGATTGCATACAGACAGCATCTTTGTGACATGCTTTAAATCTGGTTGGGTTATACGAGGCATGCAACGCCACTTCAAAAACATTTAAACATTCGTGCTACTGCTAGCACTAAGAGTAAACGTCCCAACCAACTCCCTTTTTATTTGCAACTTGGTCTCCAACCCCTCCCTAAATTGTCTCACATTCTTTGAATCACTGAATCCAAGTTGAGAGCGGTTTGAAAGGGTTAGACACTCAGATTATGGTAAGAGTCCACTCGTTTTGCTTCATTGTCAAACGTTCAAAATTCCAGAAACACAAAAGTGACACCTTGTGGCTCGTGAGGAAACAGAACCTGTGCAACATTTAGATAAAAATTTGGAGACTCCGTCTTGGTTGTTGTAGCATATACCTCCTTACTCAGTGAGTCTTGCACACAACAATGTTCTCTGCAGACTTTTCCTACTGGATTAGAGAAGGTGTGCAGTCACATGTTTGAATGGAGCAGACATCTGTTTTTGAACATGTGTAGAAAAAAAATTATGCATTTTCACAAAATAAATGCAAACTTTGTTTCTTTTTTAAAGAGAATTTAACCTTTAAAACAACAAATCTAAGATACTCCAAAGTAATTGAACTGGACTGAGAGGGGAAGGGGAGGGTGAAAGACTCCTAGTTACATTTGATCACTTCCACTACTGTGCCCATCACTAGTTTGTGGTTAAGCAGGCACGGCGGACAGGACCGAACACGACTGCAGCATTCACTCAGGAATGTTTGCTACACAGTATCAATGCAGGAAGAGTTGAGTGGGAAAACATGGGCAGAAAACACTCCCCTCTCAGCCCCACCCCCTTCAGACTAACTGCACCGTAAAGCCACATTTTAATTACAGTGTACATGTCAAAGCACACACACCTCACGGATTAGAGGTTTTAGGGCGAATCGGATCAGATACAAAAAGCTACATGAAGTGTAATTTTCAGATGTTGAAACCCCCCCCCCTCCCCCACAATTTAAATGTTTGAACGATTATTAAAATATGCTGAAAATTACTTTGCTTTTTATTTCACACTCCGACTAATTTGTTCATTTCTAACAAAGTGCGTGATTTACCATGTTGCACAAATTTAACAAAAGTCTGCTGTCACCTCTTTAAAAAAACTGAGTTTTTCGGATTGAGACGTCATTGACATTCAGCTTACTGACATCCTTGTGAAGCCCCTATTAGCTGATAGATATGCACCGTTAGCAACCAAGCATCTTGCATTTAAATTGACAATCCGTGTAAACATGTATTTGAGCAGTGAACATAATGACTTTGACACATTTACACGACAGGAGGAAGATCGGTGTGAGTCGATGAGCAGCCCGTGGGCCTGTGCAAACAAGACGTGCTGTATCTGTGGGATTACAGGGTAAAATAATCATGGCCTATTCAGGGAAACTCACAGCTGAATCACTTATTGTTTAAACGTTTCACACAAACAAAGAGCCATCAGATGGAGGTGAATTTCATCGAAATGGCCTAATTATCTTCACGAAGAATTAGGTTTTTGTTTTAGCTCCATGACCGGAGATCCCGCGTTCTAATCACAGGAAAGAGCAAAAGGTTTGATAATGAAACAGATGGTATCACTTAGAGTTTCTCAGATCAGCAGAGGAAGATTGTAGCGTCTTGCTTAATGGATTGAGTGAAGAAAGTGATATTGATCTTTCAATCCAACTTCCAGGAAAAAGGTGATTAAATCCATCAGAGGTATCGAACTTCCTTCTTAAGTTGTTTTGATCGAGGGTTTGATTGCTTTATCTATACGTCTGTCTTGTCGTGTCTGCATCAGTCTGTACGCACAGGATATATACAGAACACAGATTTACAAAGGGTTTGTCACTCAGAGGCTGAGGGTCATGCCAGCCTTCCTTTCACACATCTTTATTTTCCATTTCGGTCTTTTCTCGCACTTCCTCTCCGCTTGGTTCTGCAGATTCTATCAGCTCACTCACCTGTCAGGCATCAGCGTATCAAAACACTCCAGTATATCACTTCCAGGTTTTATTTCTTTCCTCAGATTGTCAAGCTTCACCTCCTTGAGATAAACCTTACTGAAGTGTAAAGTGTGTGTGTGTGTGTGTGTGTGTGTGTGTGTGTGTGTGTGTGTGTGTGTGTGTGTGTGTGTGTGTGTGTGTGTGTGTGTGTGTGTGTGTGTGTGTGTGTGTGTGAGTAAAAGATCTGGATTCACTGCAAAAAGGGAAGTTACACCAACAAACGTGAATTGTTTTCATGATTGTCTGGCAGCAAAGACACTAGAAAAAGTAAAAATTTGGTCTTATTTTTGACCATCAAGCATGCTTTATCTTGATGCAAATGATCTCCCTGCACTGGAAGACAGGAGAAAGCTTTTGTACCTGTAGGGGTACGATAGCTCGTCACTGGGGGGCAGAGGTGTGGACTCGAGTCACATGACTTGGACTCAAGTCATTATTTTAATGACTTCTGACTTGACTCATACTTGATCGCCAATGACTTGCGACTTGCATCTGTTCACTTGATGATGACTTGAGCATTTTTGATACTTTAGCACAAAAGTAGCACGACATGGGCAAAAATCTTAAATCATTCTTGGTTCTGAGTTTGATTTACTGCTGAATGCAGCAGCACTTTGTTTATAATCAGTTTCAGTTGCACTTCCTGCTTGTTTGAGCAAATAAGTTAAGCTTTAAGAAGCTTTATTTATTATCATTGTCATTAAATTGAAGTTGGACAAATAACTTAAAATTCAAAGTTAACGACTTGGGCTTCCACATCATTGATTTTGGACTCGACTGTAAATACTTGTGACTTACAAAGCAGTGACTTGATTACACCTCTGCTGGGGGGACATGCTACAAGATCCTGTTTCTGTACCCTCAAACTTGGGGTACTCCTGTAGTTACTGCCTTGTAGAGATCAGTCTTGTACCTCTGGTGGCAGCCCTGTTCCATAAAGGAGCAGGCCCTTGACTATGTAGGAAACAGCTTCAACCAGAATGTCTACATCATTTTTTTCCCTCTCTCTAGTCATCAATTATCATAAAAAAGTTCTGGTTTCCCAAAATTTGGCATGTGAATCAAGGTGTCACCTATGAAAGCTGATCTTTGTTTGGGTTTTCTCTTTATGTACTGAGACAAGGATTTGAACCTTCAACCTTTCAATACAAAAAGGAAAAACAAACAATACCACCAACTCAACCAGTAGGGT